CTAATGTTCAAAACAATTTGTCCTGGAAATGTCCTGGAATTTCATCTCACTTAAGGTGTACGAACCCTGTAGTTATCCTAGAGGTCTGGGCCAGATCTAAGAATGCCTGAAAGTTTTATGGAGATCATAGTTTGGAAAGTAGGCTCTAATGCAGTAACAAGAGGGAAAAATGAAATGGCTGTCAAACTTGTACAAATGAGAAAATGAATAAATTAAAGGGTTTTAAAATATCTATGAGGCATACCCAAAAACTCCTGAAAGTTTCATAGTGATAAATAATTAGAAAGTTGGAACTTTTTATAGCATATATATAGCAAGTGTATAGCTTCATAGGATATACAAAGCTTGAAGGACAATAGTATCTAGCAAACTTAGAACTTTGTATGATATATCTATTTATAGGTTCATTGGATTTATTGATTGTAAAACTTCAAGATGTTTAGTAAATTTAGAGCATCATATGATATAGCAACTCAATAGCTTTAGACCCTGAAGTTAAACTACATGGATATAAGGTGGCAAAAGTACCACAGAATTGTATTAGTTACAAATGTGTAGACAAGCCAAATTTGTTCTTGTTCTGGGATTTGGAAATCATGACTTCAGTGGACAAATATAGTGCTGTTTTGTGAAATGTGGAAGTTTTATATAACCACACATCATTGTATTTATTGAGAAAATTTTGAAATTTTAAGAAAAATGCTATTGTACTAAACTGTTTTGTATATACCTAGGATTAAAATTGTTTCTGAAGTTCAAGTTTGATGTTAGTATAAGAACTTAGAAAAGTTTATACATTCAAATGCTACTGTAGTCTGTCAGTAAGTAGCCAACAAATAGCTTTAATTCTACAGAAAAAAGTGTATCAAGTAGTTAAAACTGAAAACTAGCAGCCGCCAAACCTGAAATTACAAAATAGTTTTCAGTTCATTAGATATTAAGGACAGTTTGGCAGTAATCTTGAGCTATGCCAATCATCAAGTTGAGAATCCAGTTGTAATTTTTTTGGATATGCCAGATATAATATTTTAATTATAAAAATTTTAAGGGTGAAACATTGTATACTGGGAAGTAAGAAATTTTTCTGAAGAAAGAAAAAAAAAAGTGAAATAAGGTATTTAACAGTCTAACTCTCATTTGATGGGCAGATGCTTTAAGGAAATGTGGGAGGGGGGAGATTTGTTTCAAAATTTTTCTATAGCAGCAAGTGTTACACAAAATAAATTTGTATAGTGGCTGGAAAAAATTTAATAGCACTGCAACAGCATATTGTTAACATGCTGTCTCAAGTATGTATAATCCAAAAAGAAAGTAATGCCCCTAACTGCTTGACTCTTGAGAAAAAATTATTTATATTCTGTGAAAAATATTTTAATGCAATATGTTGTTTTAATATGAATTCATAACTTTGAAAATGTTACTCTACAGTGCCCTTCCTGTCTAGGCTTACTCACTCAATTTTTTTTATATCAAAAGTATATCTTCACCTTCCTAACAAGAAAAGGGTGTAATTTAAGCCACATCATTAAAAATTTGATTTTGTACTTAGAAATGTTATCATCAAACTGAATAAGATTAGCTTTTTGATTTTATCATCTCTTCTAATATTGAGCAAATTAACTTAATAAAATAATAATTAGCAATGTATGGGTTTAAGGCAAATAAACAAATATAGTGTTAAAAAATCCTAACCCAAATTCTGATTTGCAGTAATGTAAACAAAAATTCATAAAAATTACACTTCACAAACTTAATTCAGTTTGTAACAAAACATTTTTTGTCAAAACAATTTGATAATATAATCAGCATCTCAACCACTGCTCTGTCTGTTGTATCCTAGCTGATCTGAAGAGCCCTGGTTTTTGGCAAAAGGCTTCCCTGGAACTGGATATAACAGATATAGTTTGGTTAACATACTATTATATGCTCTTCTTTACTTTCGCTTGCAAGTTCTTATTAATAATTACTTATGAACTTTACAAAGAGAATCGTACAAATTATGGATATTTTGAAAAAAATATATGACATTGCATGCTTGCTATAATAAAAATTGCATTGCAGTTTCTGCAATGCATTGATAAGATTGAATTGCAAATAGGGCCAATTTGGATTGCAAAATGTGATACCAGACAAATTATTCTCTGGATATTAATATACCACATGTACCAGTTTTCATTGATTATTCAGGATGGAATTTGAAGGGACTTTTAAGCTGTAGCAGTCAGACTGAAAAGCTTAGATTTTATTTACTACCTTTTTTTTTTTTTATTCTTGAAAGTACAAATTTTAAATGTTTTAACTACAGAGCTTTTAAATATAACACCAGGTGGGATTCAAACCTACCCTTGGAACCACAAGCAATATACACAGTACTCTTAATGTTCTACACTCAACTCTTGATTAACATATAACTGTCAATGCTCATGCCATAAACCAGAATGGTCTCTGAAAGGATTTGTTTACTACTTAGATTTCAGAATGTTTGAATTGGTCATTATTTTTAAATATACAAATCTAACATATATCAAAATATGGCTATCTTATAAATGTATGAAATATATCTTTGATTTGTCTCTTTTTGTAGTTTTTCACATTTGAACAGTATAAAAAAATGTTTTTGTTTGGAGCTACTAGTCCAACTCCTGTGGTAAGTTAACCAAAAGCATGTTTTGTACAATAAGGTTGTGTTGTATCTAAATATATACCTAAAGAGTTATTCAAGTCTTATGTTTTTTTGTAATGAAAATTGTAATAATTTAAAAGAAAATGAACTGCTTCCACCATATGGAGCTTATTTTGTTGTAAATATTATAAAAATCAGATATTTTCAGAAATATTTCATTTGAAAATTAATGTTAGTGAGATTTTCATATATAAAGTTTACAAGTCAACAACTTTATCACTATTTCTCACTTCTGTGACCTATGAGATTTCGATTGTTGTCATGTTCAGTGAGGGTCTTGAAGGTTTTGTTGCCTGCCCAAATGCCTTTAGAGGTGCTAGACAACGACTTTTTGTTCTGGGTTCTCTTTGAAGGAGAGAAATCTTCTGCGAGTCACATCTAATCATATTTGTCACATTTCTATTTCCTCAGCAGCTCAGTTGAATTGCCTGTTGTGCAGTCTGGTATGTGAACCCCCCACCCCCTGTACTTTTATCTCACATTAGTTGTATAATCTGACAGTATTTTCATCTGGGGGTTTCCTACACCCTGTAACTATCTTAATCACTTCTTTTAGATTATACAGAGGGGTGAATATTTTCATTGCTACCTTTCAGGGTCCATTACCTTGTTTTCACAGGATCCCACTCTGTGGCAGTTGTTGCCCAGGCAGGTGTGCTTTTATCAAACCAATTCTGCACTAGCAACCACTAATTCAATATACTTTATATAGGTTGTAACAGGCTCTGTAGAAATGAGGGGGTTCCATAAGACCACCTAGAGGCTGACTGGGTGGTATTACTGTACTATGCTGGAATACCACTTATGGACTGTCATGACTACAGCATAAGAGGATCCTGCCACTTCATTCATTGGATTGAATAAATTGGGGTTGGTTTACTTTTAAAAATTTTGGGAAATTAGTTCACATATTGCACTGTTTCCAAAGCATTGTTCCTCAGGGCTCCCCATTGCGCATTATGCCCCAGACTCTACTATTGGAGCTAGGAAATCCTTACCACACCCAGTTGCCAGTCACTAGGGTGGTGGACAGTGGCTTTTTCTCTAGAGTGTTAGAGTGAATTCCTCCATTTTTGGATGTTTTTTCCCAGATGTTGGTAATACTGGTTCAGATTTGATGCTTGCTATCTGATTGGGATGAGTGTGGCCCTTCTTTTTGATCAATATTGGATCAGTACAATGTTCATGGAAAAGTGGTTCCATTCTGGGTCCTTGGTTGAGCACAGTTTGTTCCAAGTCCTCTCAATAATTCTGGGGGCAAGGGGAAGTTACCTTGCCCACACGGTTGGAAAATGAGGATGAGTGTTAATAATTCCAGACCAGATCAGTTCTGTTTCTTCAGGTTGGGTAAGGTCATTCCGAGCCTGGAGTGTTGCCTTTCAGAATTCTTCAAGTTAAGGAGAAGGTTTGTTCACTCATAAGTATGTATGTGTGTGTGTGTGTGTATATATATATATATATATATATATATATATATATATGTAGAGAGAGAGAGATTGTAGTCCAATTGCCCTATCCACCAACAGGGGATATAGGGACCACGGCCCTATATTTCAAAACCCCAGTTGATGAAATCTCGGCTCTCTGGTTGGGGCCTGGCCAGTAGTAATGACAAATCATGTAAAATTCCACCCACAGTATATGAATTAAGTTCCAGGCAAAGAGCATACCTGTTCTGGATATAGTGCAGTTCCCCAACTAGGGTACCAATCTTCTATTGACACACCCATGATCTGTGCACATGCTTTCTGTATGGATAATTGGAAGTTAACATTTTCTTAAATAGAAAATTTATTTCCAATAATACTTACCTTCTTTCACACACTCCTGTCCTTCCTCCCCACTAAAAGCTGGTGTTAGAGACTGGGATTGAGTAAGTCTTGAAAAAGTAATAACATTATCTGAATGAGGTGCTTATATACAGAACTAGGATAGAGGATGCATTGGCGTAGGTTGAGAGTGTCACGAGACAAATATCACCAAGGGCATTTAAGTGGGGTATAAAAGATTGGAGCAAGTGAGAAAAAAATCAGACCAATACTTAAATGGTTAAAGGAAGAAACCCTGGCAGTCGATTATAGCTGTAAGTGTGAGAGGATTTGATTTAAGAAAATGTTAACTTGTTGTCTGCGAGTCTGATTTTAGTGATCGACCCTTGTACAAGAATGAGTGACCACATTAAAAGACAGGGAAGAAGAAAGTGTCAAATTCACAAAGAATTACAGTGGAGTTATGATGGAAATCTTAAAATTATGGTGGTACGCGAGGCAGAAAAAATGGACAGTTGTACCAGTGCTAGAAAATTTGGTGAAATTGAAAATAATGTGAGGCATTGGTGGAAACAAAAGACTGAACACCTTAATGCACTTTCTACAAGAAAGTCATTTTGTAGACCTAAAAAAGGACATTATGACACTTCATGGTTTCTGAAAATGGGGTCGCCTTATATCCTAGATCGTCCTATAGTTGGGCCAATACAGTATTGTAAACTAGTACTTGCTGCAAGTGTAGATGTTTTAAGGGTAGTAATTATTACTTTGTTTCCTGTTTCAATTGACCCCTATTAAACTCTTATGGAGTTATATATAGATTACTGAATTATATATCCGTACGATTGTTATACGAAATAGCTGTTCTGTTTTGAAATGCAAATATACAGTTTATTTCTTAAATGTCCTGCAGTAAAGATTCGTCTACATAAAAAATCATTGGGATTGTAAATAATCCTGATTGCCACTGTTCAGATTAGTGACAGTTCACTGTACTTGGACATTTTGACTCTGAAAGAGTATCTTTTTCATAAGGTATACCATAGAGAATTGATTTTGATGAATAATGTGTGTACTTTTGTTACTGTGGTGAATGAAGATAGAAACACTGCATCTATAGTTGCAGTGCCACTGACATATTAAAAATCATAATAAATATGTAGAATATGTTTGGCAATATCATTTCAATAATGTTGCCCTTGAAATGGCATTCAAAATGTTCCATTGTGATGGTTAGTAGCCTATATGATAAAGGAAAATTGCAAGAAGGACTTCTCAGGAAACAGCAACAGCTTAGTAACCAAAATATGGGATATATACTAATTAGTAATTAAAATGTAGTAATAAAGAAAAGGTCACTAATTAATAAACAGGCTTAAATAATCATGGCAACAATTGACATTTGATTACCACAACCATACTGTAAGTGCTGTACAAAATGTAGGTTGTTTTACTAAAAATTTTATGATCAACATGTTATGATACTTAGTACTGTTGCTTAGAGAAACATTTGAACAATGGACAGGTGAAATAATAACTTGTTTATAATAAAGCATAGGAAATTGTGCTTCTATTTTTTCTTAGCATAAACATTAAAAGTGCAATAAAAATACACAAAGGTACCAATACTGAAAAAAAAAATGCGTACTGTTTTAAAGAATTCTAACAGTAGTAGTTATAATTTGTTCTAATGCTGAGGGTTATATACAACATTGGTAGTTTTTCGACTGTCCTCGTGTCATCCTGTATCATTGTGTCAAGTTTGGTGCTGATTGATCAAGAAGTGTGGAAACATATAAAGAACAGATATACACACTCACCTCTCTCTCTCTGTATATATATATATATACTGATGTTTATTTATGTAGATACTACTATTTTTATTTTATATATATATATATAATGTTTGACTCTTCTGTATTAAATTATGAGTTTGTTTTTCTTTGATAAAGAAGAAGAAAGATATATGTAAAACTTAAAGATAATCAGTCATCTTTATGTTAGAGTGTTCTCTTATTTATGAACAACTGTTTTATCTTACAGACATTTACACTTGCAGGGCTCTGTGCTGGCTTGACAGAAGGCATTGTAATAAATCCTTTTGAGGTAGTGAAAGTGAAACTACAAGCTGACAGACAAAGACTTTCAGTAGTGAGAATTTAGTGTTTTGCACTTGATATCTTGAAATAACTTCTCATATTTGTAGTCTTGCTAATTTTCAAGATTTGTTATACAGTGTTGTTTTCTTATGATAATTAAATCATAAATTCTGTTGGTTATAACAACACATGGAAGGGTACAACCATGTAGATTACAACATTACTTGTAAAACAGATTTTTATGATTACATTACTGCCCTAATTATTATTATTATTCAGGGAATAATAGTTCAAATAATTATCTAGTACTATAAAACACAGTGTGTGTATCAGTCTGTCTGTCTCGGTCATGAAATGATGTCATTGCAACTTATTACATAATTTAAGTAGTTTGGTTTCCTTTCAATCAGGAGCAAGTAGTCTGATTGATTGAAAATTAAAGATATATTTGGACTAAAATCTACAAAAAAAATTGCACTTTTTTTGCAATTTGAAAACATATCTTTGTTAAATCCTCGAGTTACGCCAGGAAGGACATAAATATACATTAGTAGACATTTTATACAACATATTAAAAGCTTATCAAAGTTTTTAGAAAGGTTTAATGTTAGGTCATAGAATTATATTGGAAGGTTATTTATTGATAGTATTAAGTGCAGTAAGGTTTAGCCCTATTTGAACTAAAACAAAAAATGTACACTAGTTACAGTCTTAATTTATCTCTCTATCGAATATAGGCCCTACTTAATAAAGGCTTAACTAATATTAAGACTAAGACAAGTGGATTTATAGATTTCAGTGTCTGCAATTAGAATTTTTTTGTATTACTCTAGAAATCCTGTATTTAAAAAAGTACTGTTGCGATTAAGATACTAATATGGTTGCAATTTGCTAGTACCATTAGAAATACTAACTCCTCACTTCAATCATTCTACAAAACTAACATTACTGCCCATATGACAACTCTATGTGGATAAGAGCAATGCTTGTAATACACTGCAGTTTTTTAGATCTTTTATCCATTTTTTTTTTCCATGTGGCAAGATTTTACTGAATTTTGAAAAGGTGTGCCAGTAAATTTTACTTTTGGACTAATATAAATTGGGATATTCCATACCATTTATGTTCCAAAACAGTTTAATCTGTAAACTTTTGATTGTAATTTTTTTTTTTAAAGTAAACAGCCAGGTTCTGTTAACATGCAGAAGACTTGTTTTTGGTTTATTACCTGATATTTATTGAGAAATCATTATTTTTATTTTATTAGCTACATGTGCAAATGGAAATATGTAAGATTGTGGAAAGAAGGATGGTTACATATTATGTATAAATGTTTCTGATAAGGTCTTACCTTCTTTCACACAAATGTATCTCGATCTTCTTTCTGCCCGCTAAGCATTGCTAAAACAATTTTCATGCTCAACAGACCAGTCTATATACCTCACCAATTATGCATCACAATTGAACATGTACATAGCATGTAACTACTCTTCACCAGTAGTATTGTGCCATGTATATTGGTGCAACTAGCTCCCACTACTATTCCTGCTAAATCCTTACTTTCCTGATTGGACTGCTTTGTTTAGATGTGTGTTTTTCACGTGTCTCCCATTTATGATTGTGCTTCTTTGCCATTTCAATTTTTTTCTCAACAGTTTTAATTTACTGTGTTTGCATTCAGTTGTTTCAATATTTTGTGTGTTTGTTGTTCCGAAATTATAAGAGATCTTAGTAAGAATTCATGATTCAGGGTATCGACTATGAAAATTCCCATTACAGTTGAAAACGCTACTGGTATGACTTTCCAAGAATTGGATTCGACTTTATCTGCACAGGAGGTCAGGCCTAAATTTGCAGGGAGCAAGATTTGTATGTTTGGCTGGCAATTTCTTCTTTTCAACTTGACAGTGTTTCTGAGGAAGAATACAATCAAGGTGAAGACTATTTGGACTCTCTTTTTTTCCAGCACCTTCTTATTTTGGTCTGTTAAACTCTACACCTCTTCAGGAGTTTTTCCCTTGCATTTTTTTTTTCAGCTAGTTAATCAAGTTGTCGGTAGATGTATATTCTGGTTTTGTTGTATGTTCGAGACATGGGTGATTTTACTATCTGTGTTAAGTTTTTGTATTGTACACTTCACACATGGTGAATATACCCACAGTAGGCATTTGTGTGGTTTTGTCATTTACACATGGGAGAATTATGTATTTCACATTGTCAGTCTCTGACTTTGGTAAGTTAGATATTTGTTATTTTCATCTGAAAATTTTCTAGGGTTTGTCAGTTCGATATTAATAAGTACTTTATCTAGGTATGTTCAGGTAGTTTATAAGTTTCATATCATTACTACTAGTCACATCTACTTCATTGTCCTATCTAACTGATTTTTTTTTCTTGTCATTGTTAATTACTTGCCTTATAATCATAGTTGTCATCAGTGTTGGCCTTACGAGTTCTTTGTTGTCTACATTAATTTAGATGAATTGTAAGTTAGACATTGATTATTACTTTGTTTTTCTAGCTGATTTTAAGTTAGAATCCTAATTATCATCAATGTTGGACTTGTGTACTTTGTCATCTAAGTTAGTTCAGATGAATTGGCAATTAGGTATTGTTTATTACTTTGCTTTCTCAGTAAATTTAGTTGGTTTGCAATTTCGTTATTTTTATATACTTTGTGACTGGGTATGTGTAGATAGTTTGTATGTTACATATCAGTACTACTAGTAACATTAATATATTGTTCAATCTGAATACATTTTTTTTGTAATTGTTAATCATTTGCTTTCTAATCCTATTTTTCATCAGTGTAGGACATAATTGTTTTCTTTGCTATATTGCTAACATGTTCATTTCTTTTCCATTTGTAGGGCTGAGTTTTAGTTTGGCTCCTTTTCCTACATTCTTGATACTAGAAACCAAATATCCTTCTAGTAATCTACAATTCAGAGATCATGCCCACATCATTGATAGTTATTTTTTGGTCAAAGTTGAATGTTTCAGTTCAGGGCCCTAAAGTTTGGACTTATCTCTCTACGTTTTTTATCAGGGGGTACGAATTCTTGCCCGACATTTTAACTCGATGGGTCTTCGCACTTATTATTACATGGCTGATTGGCTCATGCTTGGTTCTTCCCATTCACAGTTCAGAGACCATACTATTCTGCTCCTTCAAGCTGCAGCACAAGTGGGATTCCTGATGAAAGGGGGAAGTCCCCTCGATTCCCCATTCTTTTGGGGAGTTTTTCATTCCTACTTCAGTTAGGCCCAGATGGAGCAAACAATTCACAATGCCCTTACCTCACATCCTCTTACAGCTTGAGAAGTTCTATGTAGTATGGGGATGTGGGCTTCCTTGGAAGCTCTCATTTCCATGGGTCGGGTTCTAATATGTTCCCTTCAGTGGACACTCCTAGATCAGTAGAACTTCTAATCGAATCCATTAGACCACCCTTTTACCCTTCATTCCCCAATCAAAGCCAACCTGACTTGGTGGTTAGACAGAGACCAGACTACGGCAGGAATGCTGCTTTCGTCTGGATTGACATCTGTTCACAGAATCATCTTTAGTAGGTTGGGCTGCTTACCTTGGCTCCCAGGAGACTTCCAGTTTCTGGTCAGTTAAGGAGTCTTTTCTCCATATCCCCATTCTCGAGCTTATGGCAGTTTGTCGAGCTTTGTCCTACTTTCTTCTTCTCCTGCTGGGGAGGGTGGTTATGGTACACTCCAACAACTCCACAGTGGTCACTTATATCACCAAGTAAGGGTGTACCAATTCTATGTCTCTGTACTTTCAGATCATGAATCTCCATTTTTGGACCCACAGTCACTACAATGTGGTCTTAGCTTGCCATGTTCCTGGTGCCCTGAATCTGGTTGTAGATTGATTATGTCGTCCCAACAAGATTCTTCCCATGAGGTGATCCCATGATCCACAAATCTTTTGTTGGGTGTATTCTCAGCTGGGAATGCCTTCACCACCCACTGGTACACCAGTTTCCTTCCTTTTGGTCTCCCATTCCACACCTGTTAACTCTGGGGGTGGAAGTGATCAGTCAAGATTGGAGGGTCTTCATATCTGCTTATCCTCCTATTTGACTCCTCTCCAGAGTTCTATCTTTAATCCAAACCAATCTACATTTAGTACTACTGGTAGCTCCGTATTGGCTGGTGCAACCATGGTTCCCATTACTCTGATCTTTACTTGTACAACCTTCCCTATCCTTACCTCTGTCTCAGTCTCTACTCCATCAACCTCGGTTGGACATTGTTCTTCTGGATGTCACCACACTCTGTCTTCATGCATGGCTTTTGTCAGGTTCATTGCCTCAGCTCAATTACTGATCCCACATGTTGCATCTTTTTCTTTTCCGTTCCATCAGACGTTTGTCCATGTCCATTTACCAAAGGCAGTGGTCTATCTTTTGCCTTTGGTCTTTTCCACATGGTTTCTGTCTTTTCCACCCTTCCGTTCCTCATCTTTCCCAATTCTTCACCTGGTTGTTTGACAAAGGCTTACCCACTTCGACTGTATCTAGCTATCGGGTGGCCTTGTCAAACACCTTCCATTTCTTCATGTTTTGCTCCTTTAAAGTCACACGTCCTCACTTTGATTTGCTTGATTGGTATCTCATTGTGGTGACTTATGTCCTTTCCCTTCCTCCCATTGAACCTTTGTCTATGTGTCCATGTACCGTCTCTCCCTCAAGACCTATTTCCTTCTCCTTATTGCTCATGGACATCTTCAATCAGATATTTATTTAATTAATGTTACCCACATCCTTTACCATTCTTCATATCCTATATCCCAACTGGCTCTTCTTCCCTAAGATTTATGCTGCCCATGAAGGAGGTTTGGCTTTCAACCTATTTTTTTACCTTCCATATCCCATCTGTTCTCCCATTACAATCCTGATTTGCTTTTTTTTTCACTGGCTTGCTCCTTATGATGTTATGTGGCACATTCTCGACATTTTATTCCCTGAACCTTTCCATTTCCCATGATTTTTCTCCTGTTACGCTCACTGGTTGCATTTGTCAACTTGTTTAGCTAGCATATTTAGATTTATTCATGGAAAGTTGCTGTCTCCACAACATTTCTTCTCATCAGATTTATTATATCACTTATTTCACCTTATCCTATATCCCAACTGGCCCTTCTTCCCTAAGATCTATGCTGCCCATGAAGGAGGTTTGGCTTTCAACCTATTTCCTTACCTTCCATCTCCCATCTGTTCTTCCATTCCGATCCTGATTTTTTTTTCTTTTTTCACCAGCTTGCTTCTTATGGTGTTATGTGGCACATTCTCGACCTTTCCATTTCCCATGATCTATCCCCTGTCAAGCTCACAGGTTGTGTTTGTCAATTTGTTAAGCTGGCGTATTCAGATTTATCCATGGAAAGTTGCTGTCTCCACAACATTTCTTCTCATCGGATTTATTATATCACCACATATTTGGCTGCTCACCTTCACCATCTATTGGAGGAGATTGTTTAGGCTGAAATGTGTAAGTCTTATCACTTCCTTTCATTTGTTTTCTTTTCAGAGACCCTCTTTTTTTTTACCACTGATAATGGGACCACATTCTGTGGCAGGTGTTGCCTGGTCAGATATGCTTTGCCTCAAACCCACATTATTTACTGATTGTGCTGTAACACTCACTATAGAGATGGGGTGTTCTACAAGACCACTTGTGGCATACCTCATGGTCTGTACATGTTTCTAGATATCAGTAAGTTTCACTCAGTGATGGACCATTACTCATGGACTTCATGAATACAGAAAGAAATTTCTGCCCATCCTTGCTGATCATTTGATTAAATAAAACAGGGTCAGTCTGCTTTTCATAATAGGGACTCGCCTCTTTTTTTCTTCCAGTGTAGCAAGGAAGTCCTTTCCAGTTACTGGGGTGGTGGACAACGGAGGCTTCCTCCTGAATGTGTTGTAGAATTTTAATTTACTACACATACTCATGATTATCCACTCAGTGAGAAGAGGGCAAAGCTGGTTTCCATCCTTCCATTTCCTTTGGGTGCTTTTTCACAGCTGAACAACTGTCAGTTGGAGCAGGACCAGCCTATGTGGGATCCTCCTCATAATACCAGGTTTCAGATGACTCTTCCCTGTTCCTATGGTTGTGGGCAGTAGAGGCCCCTTTTCTCCTTAATTCTGGTTGCAGGAGGTTCCTTCCCTGCATTTATGGTAGGGTGAGTTATGATTTCTGCTTGTAATACCAGTTACAGATATTGCCCTGTTCTTATGGTTGAGTTGAGGCACCACCATGCCCCAGTAATTCTGGGTTTTGGTTTGTTGTACTTCTTGTTGTTACGAAGGTTTGGGAAGTTTGTTCTGTTTGGGCCAAATACTAACTTCCTCGTCATAATTCCAGTTGCTTGATGTAGGACACTGTTTACTTTTGATTGGGATTGAGGAGTATATGTAACACAGTCCACATGCTGCACAGTTTATGTTACACTGTATTTATTTTTATCAGTTTTGATATTCAACCTCCTAATGTTGAGGACAAGTTATGGAACCTCATCTGTCCAGTTGAAGTTGGGTGTCTACTTAGTTCATTCAGTTTATATTTTACCATGGATTTCACCTCTCAGAACAAATTGCACTTGTCCACATTCTTTTTTCTCCACCCGTATAAGATTCATTTCCTATTTCAAGGCCAAAGAGTATACCTGTTCCAGATGTAGTGCAGTACACCATGTGTGTGCTTTGGTTTCATCTCAGAGCACACCTATTCATTCTGAATGGTCACTTTTTGCTTGGTTTCAATGTTGAGTACTTACACTGGCCCCTCCACCTTTGCAGTGTGGTATTCTAGCTTTGTGTGAATGTGGGTAAGAGCATGTCGGAAGCTAACATTTTCTGATAGATACTCACCTCAACTCACAAACTTCCTACCCTTCCTCCCCACTGCTGGTGTTCTTCTTTTAGAGCCTGCCAATTCTCAAAGGTGAGGATTGAGCAGGAATATCAGAGGAAACTAGGTGCACTAATATAGGTGGCACAATACTATTGGCAGATAGTAGTCACATGCTATGTACATGTTCAGTGGTGACGCAAAATTGGTGGGGCTTTTAGACTGGTGCGCTAAGCATGAAAATTTTTTTTAGCAATGCATAGAGGGCAGAAATAAGATCGAGATAGCTATGTATCAGAGGTGATAAGTACCTATCTAAAATATATTTTCAATGTAAGAAAATGTTAACTTTCTTATTACCTTAGCAACCCAGCAGTTTTGCTGTTGCCAGAAGCATTCTACATACAAAGGGAATGGGACTTGAAGGGTTGAACAAAGGGCTAACTGCTACACTTGGAAGACATGGGGTTTTTAACATGGTGTACTTCAGTTTCTATTTCAACATGAAAGGTCTTGTACCTGAAGTAGAGGTATGTAACTATGTATTCAGACTTATAAATTGTGACTGATATTGCTTGTTTGAATTTATGCATTTTTGAAAGATGTTTAAGTAAAGGTGAGTGAAATAATTTTATTGTATTTAATTCATTAATAATGTGATATAATTTCTTATCTGCTTCCATGTGGAAAGTTCGAAATCTGAGGTTAAGGTAATTGACCTTTATTGATCAGGATCGTTTTACAACTTTTTTAAACTTGATGCTTTATGATTGACACAAATAGCTCTATATTGGTGTAGATACAATTGAGGGGTCTCATTTCATCTGTTTTTCCATTAAAATCTTGTTATTGTGTATAAAAAATATATATATATATATATATATATATTGATAAATTGAAGAACAAGAACAGACAAAACTTGAATACACTCCACTTGTGCAGCCAAAGAACTTAAAATATGGTAGCATCAACATTCTGAGTTGAGTGATATTTTTTCAAAATTAAAGGAAAGATAAGGTAGTTGCATCAGAAAAAAACTTAAAATGACTTGAAACTTCGAAACAAAAGGAACAGTTATTACATTTTACATTTCAAACAGTTCTAAGAAAATATCAAAAAGTTTGGAAAAAATTAGTTTTTCAGCCCGAATCTCAAATAGTGGAGGATTTCTAGTGTGGATGTGTATAATACTATAATAATTTTATCATAGTTTATTTTTTTAAATCCAAAAATCCCTGCGAAACAGTATTCTGCTTATGGTGGACATCTCACTGATTCTACATGTAAATGAAGTTATTTCTTCTCAGTTGCCAATTCTACCTTTTACCTAAGCCTTGAATTCTCACAGTAAAAGTATTGACAAAAAAGGTTGTAAAATTGCAATAGTGTTTACGTAAGAAGTGTGATCAGCTTAACAAAAAATTCCTAACATGATTATAGTAAAAACAACAAAAAACATCAATATTAATGTGACTTTTAGGATACATTAGTGTTCACACTACATTTCTATAAGTAACACTCAATGGTACTGATAGATAAAAACTGAAATGAGTTCAGAGTAGGGGTACTACAAGTACAGCATTTTGTGATTTGGAGACCCTACCCTAACTACTTATTAGTAATTGTTACAGATACTGTTTAACATTTAGTATTATACATCACACACACGATAATTCAGTTGCACTTTCAGCAACCAAACTCATCTGATTTGTAATTGTTACAGATACTGTTTAACATTTAGTATTATACATCACACACATGATAATTCAGTTGCACTTTCAGCAACCAAACTCATCTGTTGGACTTTTATTACAAAGTTTGCACATTGTTTTCTTTTTATCTTTCACTTAGTCAAAGAATTTCCATCTCTGTGCTTTTGTTTTTAACATCTTTCTTTTTGTCACAGCGACAGATTAATACTAAATTTTAAAATTCACTTTTCTATACCCTCAGGATTACTGTGAAGATGTTTTCTTGTACGCATGC